TGGGGATTTGTGTGTGCGTATCCAGACTAGCACATGTCTGTAAAGTTGTCACACTGTGATGATTTGCAAGTTCCTGTGATGCAAGAAGCTATCCCATCGGTATTTTAAATACCAACAGGGTCAACCATAGGTGATAGATTTCAGCAGAGCCTCTGGACTAAGACCTACTAGGAAGAAGGAGAGGAGGGCTACTTCTAAATCTTTAGTCACTGACCACCTTATGGATATCACTGGAGTATTGTTAGATATATACCAGAAATGGTAAACATTATGAAGAGAACAAGAATATTGTCAGATATAGCGCCAGAAGATAAGGCCCTCAGGTTGGAAGGCACTCAAATATGACTGGGGAAGAACGGCCTACTCAAAGTCAGTTGACCTGATGATGTGAATGAAGCAAAGCTTTCAGGACCTTCATTTGCTAGTGGGGGAAATTTAAGATAAGGAGAAACAGCTGCAAGCATCCATAAGTAATCAGAACATGGGATGAATGAAGTATGACTCTAGGAAAATTGGAAGTTGTCAAAAATGAAATGGAACATATATTAAAATTGATATCCTAGGTGTGGCGCTGTGAGTTAATGCGCTAGACTGCAAAGCCGTTTGAACTGCAAGGTCGGCAGTTCAAACTCACCAGCTGCTCCTAGGAAACACTATACAGGGTCGCTATGGGTCGGAATTGATTTGATGGCACTTAATAACAAGTGAGTTGAAATCGATTGGTATTTGTGGTTTTAAATCTGACAATCATATGGTTTACTATTCTGGGAACAAAAAATTCAAGAGGAATGGCATAGTATTCATCATCAAAAAGAATATTTCAAGATCTATCTTGAAGTATAATGCTGTCTGTGATAGGATAATATCCATACACCTACAAAAAAAACTAGTTAATATCACTATTACTCAAATTTAGACACCAACCAAAAATCCAGTGATGATGAAATTGAAGAATTTTACCAATTTCTTCAGTCTGAAATTGACTAAACATACAATCAAGATGTTTTGATAATTATTGGTAAGTGGAATGCAAAGGTTGGAAACAAAGAGGAAGGATAGGTAGTTTGAAAATGTGGTCTTGGTGATAGAAATGATGCTGGAGACTAACTACATGATAGAATTTTGCAAGACCACTGACTTGTTCGTTACAAATACATTTTTTTAAACAACATAAAAGGCAACTAACTATACACATGGACTTCCCCAGATGGAATACCCAGGAATCAAACTGACTATATCTGTGGGGACAAACCCAATGGAAAAGCTCAATATCACTAACCAAAACAAGACCAGAGGCAGACTGTCGAACAGATCTTCACTTGCTCATATGTAAGTTCAAATTTAAGCTGAAGAAAATTAAAACAAGTCTATGAGAGTCAAAATATGATCTTAAAGGTATCCCACATAAATTTAGAGAACATCTCAAGAACAGATTTCATGCATTGGACACAAATAACTGAAAATCAGAAGAGTTGTGGAGTGACATCAAGAACATTAAATAGGAAGAAACCAAAAAGTCATTAAAAAGACAGGAAAGAGAAAAGACAAAAAATGGATGTCAGAACAGACTCTAAAACTTGCTCCCCAGCATAGAGATGCTAAAGCAAATCAAAGAAATCAGGAAGTCAAAGAGCTAAATAGAAAATTTCAAAGGTTGAGAAGACAAAGTCAAGTATTATAATGAAATGTGCAAAGACCTGGATTTAGGAAACCACAAGGGAAGACTGTACTCAGCATTTCTCAAGCTGAAAAAAACTGAAGAAGAAATGCAACCCTCAGGTTGCAATATTGATGGAGTCTTTGGGCAAAATATTGAATGATGCAGAAAGCATCAAAAGAAATGGGAAGGAATACAGTCACAGTACTAAAAAGAAATAGTCAATGTTCAACCACTACAAGAAGTAACACATGATCAAGTACCGATGGTACTGAAGGAAGAAGTCCAAAGAGGACATTGGCAAGAAAAACAAGACTCCAGGAATGAACAGAATACAAACTGAAAAATTTCAACAAACTGATGCAGTCCTGGAGGTGTTCACTCACCTATGCCAAAAAATTCAGAAGATGACTACCTGACCAACTGATTGGAGGAGACCTATATTTGTGTCCATTCCAAAGAGAGGTGATCCAATGGAATGTGAGAATCATTGAACAATATCATTAATATCACATGCAAGTAAAATTTTACTGAAGATAATAAAAAACATAGCTGTAATACATCGACAGGGAACTGCCAGAATCTCAAGCTGGATTCAGAAGAGGATGTAGAACAAGGGATATATCATTGCTGATGTCAGATGGATTTTGGCTGAAAGCAAAGAATACCAGAAAGATGTTTTCTTGGGCTTTATTGACTATGCAAAACTTTCAACTGTATGGATCATGATAAGCAAAGGCTAGCATTGAGAAGAATAAATATTTCAGAACACTTAATTGTGCTCATGATGAACCTGTACATAGACCAAGAGGCAGTGATTAGAACAGGACAAGGAAATACTGAATGGTTTAAAATCAGGAAATGTGTGTGCCAGGTTTGTATTCTTTCACCATACTTATTCAATCTGTATGCTGAGAAAATAATTCAGGAAGGTGGATTGTATATTGAAGAGTATGACATCTGGATTGGAGGAAGACTCATTAATAACCTATGACATGCAGATGATACAACCTTGCTTGCTGAAAAGATGAGGGCCTAAAATACTTACTGGTGAAGATCAAAACCACAGCCTTCAGTATGGATTGCACCTCAGTGTAAAAAAAAAAAAAAAAAGCTTCACAACTGGACCTATAAATAATATCATGATAAATGAAAAGACTGAAGTTGTCCAAGACTTCATTTTGCTTGTATCCACAATTAGCACTCATGGAAGAAGCAGTCAAGAAATCAAATGATTCATTTATTTATTTGCAATGAGCAAATCTGCTGCACAAGACCTCTTTAAAGTATTCAAGAATAAAGATGTCAGTTTGAGGACTAAGGTACGCCTGACCCAAGTCATGTTTTTTCAATGGCCTCATATACATGTGAAAGTTGGACAATGAGTTGGAAGACCAGAGAAGAATTGATGCATTTGAGTTATGGTGTTGGAGAGGATTTTTTTTAAGTACCATGGAGTAACAGAAGAACAAACAAATCTGTGTTGGAAAAGGTACAGCAAGAATGCTCCTTAGAAATCAGGATGGCCAGACTTTGTATCTCATACTTTGGACATATTATCAGCAGGGACCGACTGGAGAAGGACATCATACTTAGTAAAGTGGAGGGTCAGCAAAAAAGGGGGAGACCCCCAAAAGCAATGGGCTCAAGGGTAATAATTGTGAGGATGTCAAAAGACTGGGCAGAGTTTCATTCTGTTGTGTATAATAGGGTTGGTATGAGTTGGAACTGACTCGATGATACCTAATAACAACAGTAAGAACAAGTGCTGTATGGAGCCCTGTTATGGAGATGTAGGCTAAGCACTGGAATGCTAACAGCATGGTCGGTGGTTCAAACCCACCAGCCGCTCCTCAGCAACTCTCTATAGGGTCACTGTGAGTTGGAAATGACTCAATGGCACCTAAGTAATGTATCTCTTCTCATCATTTCTGAGTCATAGTTGTCCATCCATAAAATGGGAGAATTAGATACCTGCTTTTTCAAAATAAGTGGGAAATGTAGATCTTTGTATGAAATGTCATTTTAAATATTGCAAATTAATTTATTTAAATAGACCTTTCTTCCCTATTTTCTTAAATTGTGGCAAACACAGGTAACATTTGCCTTTTCTACATAAACCTAATCTTTAAATGTAAAAATACCTTGAGGGTCAAACAAGATAATTCTGTGGACTGATTTGGTCTGTGTGCCACTAATTTTCTACCAAAGCTACAGGTTGTCAGAGATGCTAAACTACTATATAATTTAGGCCAACCAGTTTACCTTACTGAACTCCATTCAGTTAATTTGTTAGTCCGTATAAACGGGGCCTTGATCGGTCCTTAAGCAGATCAAATGAGATTTTGCTAAATCCCTTAGCAAAACGATGGCGCAGAATAAGCACACCACACAATAAACGGAAGCGGTATCTTGTATAGTTGTTGATTAGAGAAGGATGTATTCAAGAAGCAGCATTTCCTAGAAGCCAAGGAGACAGGGAAGGCGAAGCCCCGAGGGGAGGAGAAAAGAGGGCAGGGAAAGGAAAGGAAGGAGAGAGGAGGCATCTGGGTCCGCCCTCCAGGCGGAGAGCCAGCGAGAGGCCCAGGCCGGGACTAGGGCGCACGTGGCCTATTTCAAGCGGACAGACGTGGCTAGTCACAGGGGAAACCTCCGAGTTGGTGCAGGAGACTAGCCGTAGGGGTATGTTAGAATTGGGCTGAGAGGACTATAGTAGCAGCGTTAGCAAGGCCCCAAGTCCCCAACTAGAGGAGACCTGGGGGTGCTAAACCTAGGCTCACGGCTCCCCCCACAGCTGGGGACAAGACGCCTAGGTCCGCCAGGCCCCTCCCCCTCAAGGGCGGGTTCGGTGCTCAAACCAATAACCAGCCGCCCCCGGAACCCCACCTCCTCCCCTCCCCAGAGCCGCGGCCGGCCTCGCTGAGTGCTCAACCGCCGGGTCCCTAGGCAGGCCTGGAGCTGCACGGGCGTCTAGCTTGAGGCTGGTGAGTGCGGGCCTCCCCTCCCCCGCAGCGTCTCCGCCTTGATCCCTCCTCCAGTCTGTATCCCAGAGATCAGGGTTCTAGACCTGCGAGCCGGGGAGTGACTCAGCGCCGGGAGGGTGACGACTCTCAGGGACTGGGGATTCGAACTGTTAAGGGCCTGAATGCTGGGATGAGTGAGGGTGAAAGGGTGACTCCCGAGCTGGACCCCCGGCAGTTCCAGGACAGGAGGCCCGGCTGTGGGGGAGAGGGGAGACCAAGGCAGGGCGGGAGAAGCTACGGCTGCACTGCCTTGCCTGGGCCAGGGCATTGGTGGGGGTGGCTTCTGAGCTTCTGACCTAGCTCCCCGCCCCAGAACAGCAAGATGCCTGGTGAACAGCAGGCTGAGGAAGAGGAGGAGGAAGACATGCAGGAAGAGATGGTGCTGCTGGTGAAGGGTGAGGAAGATGAAGGCGAGGAGAAGTATGAGGTAGTGAAACTCAAGATCCCCATGGACAGCAAGGAGGTATGTGCTGTATTACCCCTAAACTGTTCCAGACCCCGCCTCCCTGAGACAGAAGCCCAGGACCATGCCCATATTTTCCTCTGAATCTCAAACCTAGAATTTCAGGGTTGATCCATCTTTCTACCCACTGCCTATGCTGCTATTATCCAGTGCCTTGCCTTCTATGCCAGGAATTGTGCTAAGCGCTGGAGAGTAAATAATATCTTAGGTTCCCTTGGTTCTCTCCGGAGCTTGATGTCTGTCTGTCTGGATTAGAATAGCACATGATCATGTAGTTGCAATTCTGTGAGATATGAACAGGCATGGAGTGTCTGTGTCTGTCTGCCTATCTGTCTGGCCGGGTTAGAATGATAAGTGATTATGGAGTTTCAAGTGTGTGTATATAAGCTGAGAGGTGGGAACTTAATTCAGACTTAGGCATGGAGTTAGGGTCCCAGAAGAGGCGACAACAGTAGTGATAACAGCTAACTCTTGTATAGCATATAGTATGTGCCAGACCCTTAGCATGCCAACTCTCTGATATAGATACTACTTGTCCCATTTTTGAGGAAATTGAGGTCTGAAGAGTTTGGGTAACTGGCTCAAGGTTTCACAGTTTATCTGAGACCAGGAAGCGCCTTTGTGGGTAAAGTGGGATGAAAGCTGCAGGCAGAGAGAACAGCGCTTTCAGGGACTCAGAGCAGTGATTGTGGGATCTGGAAAAATGAGAGCACGTGGTTCAGTCCTGTTGTGTCGTGGATGGAAGTGGAGAAATTGTCAGGCAGGCAGTAGTCAGGGTTTTACTGTGAAGGTATTTGAGGTTTTAAGGAGAGGAGTTTAAGGAGATCAAAATATGAGTTAGTTTCTCTTCTAGACTGTAAATTTCACCAAGTATATTTCCACTCTCACAAAACTGGTAATCCTGAACCCAGCTGGAGGGCTTCCACTGGACCATGTTTCTGACCCAGGCTCCCTCTGATTTCTTCCTGCACAGAGGCCTGTTCCCAGGAAAAGAAAGTTCTCCTGTCCCCTAATAGGTGTGGCAGGGCCTAGAGAAGGGGATTGGTTACTTAGACCTCTTCTTTCAGCCTAAATAATCATCGAATTCTCTTTGTCACAGGCCTTCCTGGCTCATCATCCTAGCCTGGGCTGCCTCTTCTGACCCTGTCTCCATCTTTGGCCTCTAAGTTATGAACAAAGATCCAAAGCTTAGAGTAGACTTCCATCTCCATGACTTACCACTTGTGTAACTTTGGGCAAGTGTCTTGACCTATCTGTGCCTCAGTTTCTTCATTTATAAAAGGGAAATCATAAAAGCACCTATTTCTTGGGGTTATGAGGATTTGTTATACAATAAAGTGGTTGTAACCATGTCTGACACATAGTAACATCATATAAATGTTTGGTGGTAGTGTGCTGTGGAGTCGATTCCAACTCATAGCAACACTTTGAGGTGAACAGTGTAACTCGTAACCACTATGCTACCAGAGCTCCTTTTATATAAGTGTCTACACTTACATAAAAGATAAGTGTTTACACTTCTATTATCTATTCTCTCTACAAGTTAAGACTCTTTCTGGGCTGAACCCTGAAAACTAGAGGTGAACAGGGAAATTAACAAGGAGACCTAAACAAAGGATTGAGAGCAAACACATCTAGGCAATGGGGAAGGCTTCACCGAGATGATTTTACTTGGGCTAGTGAGAATTTAGCAACTGAAGAAGAGGAGACATAAGGGCATTCCAGAAGAGAGAAACAGCAAAAGCCAACTCAGTTGTAGACAGTAATTGTTATTGTTAAGTGCCATCAAGTCAGTTCCGACCTATATATAGGTTTTCTGAGGAGTGGCTGGTAAGATTGAACTGACAACCTTGAGGTTCAAACCTACTTTGCAGTCCAGTGCATTATTAACCCACAGCGCCACACCAGGACTCTGAGAGGGTCATAGGCCAGGGCATAAATTTAGACTTACTGTGTGTTGGATTGCAGAGTCTCTGTATGCAACAAATAGTTAAGCACTTCACTAACCAAAACACTGGAGGTTTGAGTCCATTCAGAGGTGCTTCAGGTTAGGTTATATGGTACATCAGGAGCCTAAATGCTGGGGAGGGGAGGGACATGATTGAATTTTCCATTTATAAGACTCATTGGCTGCTTCTAGCTTAAACAGTTCCTAAATAAAGTTCTGTATTTCAAGAAAAAAAAAAAAAAGACTCATTGGCTGCTATGGGAAGACAGGGAGGTCAGAAGAAGCTGGTAACCTGCTCTAAGGTACTGGCAGTGGGGTTGGAGAGAAGCTGGTATTAAGGAGGTGTGTATTTGATGCATTTGCATTATGATGTTGGAGAAGAATATTGAAAGTACTATAGACTGCCAGAAGAACAACCAAATCTGTGTTGAAGGAAGTACAGCAAGAATGTTCCTTAGAAGCCTGGATGGCTGGGCTTTGTCTCTCATACTTTGTACATATTATCAGGAGAGACCAGTCCCTGGAGAAGGACATCATGCTTGGTAAAGTGGAGGGTCAGCGAAAAAGAGACAGACTCCCAACTAGATGAATTGGCACAGTGGCAGCAGCAATGGGCTCAAGCGTGACAATTGTGAGGATGGCGTAGGACGAGGCATTGTTTCGTTCTGTTTGCATAGGGGCGTTATGAGCCAGAACCAACTCAACAGCACTTAACAACAATAACAAACTACCACCCTCTTAACATTGAGAAAATGTGTAATCTACCCAAAGTGATCTACAGATATAATGCAATCTTGATCCAGATTCCCGCATCATTGTTTAGGCTTGGAAAAACTAATCACCAACTTATATGTTTATATGAAAGGAACGAGACCCCAGATAAACAAAGTGTAGCACTGTAGGATAAGCACTGGACTGCTAACCACAAGCTAACTAGAAGGTTGGCAATTCAAACTCACCAGCTGCTTCTTGGAAACCTTATACAGGGTCATTATGAGTTGGAACTGACTAAGCACCACTTAACAAGAACAACTAAAGAAAAACAAAGTAGTAGGTGGCCTCACATTTTCCAATCTCACAACCAACCCCACCATACTTAAAACAGCCTGATACTGGTTCAGTGATCGACAGACAGATAGACTAGTGAAACCATTAAGAACCCAGAATGAAATCAGTCCATGCATAGATTGCTGATCTTTGACAAGACTATAACACATTAGATGGGGAAGAAAGATGGGTCCTGTTTCATTTTTCTGCAAATGGATACTGGCAAAACTGGATATCCATTTGCAAAAAAATGAAAAAGGACCCATATCTCACACTATATGCAAAAATGAACGTAAGACCTAAAAGTAAAATTTATCTATGAAGACCATCCACCACTCGCCTGCATGTTGTACCATGGTGACTTGTGTGTTGCTGTGATTCTGGAAGCTATGCCACGGGTATTTTAAATACCAGCAGGGTCACCTATGGTGGATAGATTTCAGCTGAGCTTCTAGACAAGGAAGACTAGGAAGGAGAGGCAGACACTACTTCTCAAAATTTAGTCACTGAAAACCTTATGAATAGCAGTAGAACACTGTCAGCATTAGCTTATTGAATATTGAAACATGATGAAGAGCACCAGAATATTGTCAGATATAGTGCCAGTAGATGAGGTTGGAAGGCACTCAAAATGCAACTGGGGAAAGGCTGCCTCCTCAAAGTAGAGTTGACCGTGATGATGCAAATGGAGTAAAGCCCTTGAGACCATCATGTGATGATGGGGCACAACTCAGAATGAAGAGAAACAGCTGTAAACATCCATTAATCAGAACAGGGGATGTACAAAGTATGAATCTAGAAAAATTGCAAATTGTCAAAAATAAAGTGGAACACATAAACATCAATACCCTAGGCATTAGTGAGCTGAAATGGACTGGTATTGGCCATTTTGAATCTGACAACCAAATGGTTTACTATGC